AGAGGACAAAGTGGGCAATTGCCTGGGGGCCAGCCATTCACAGGGGCTTGGAGCGCCTTGGAACTGCTATGGGAGTGCCGGAGTACCACTCCACAAGGCTGGGAGGGCTGGGGAGGAGGGTGAGTGCCATGGCCTGATGCTGCTAAGGACACTCAGCCCTGCCTCTTCCAGGGGTGCAGAGCTGCCCTCCCCACCACCTTGCCCCAGGGTGCATGGTAGCTGCCAGATCCACCTTGCCCCAGGGTGCATGGTAGCTGCCAGATGGCGGGGTAGCTGCCCCACCCCCCCCTGTGGCCAATAGGAGCGGGCGGGACAGGGGAAGGTGAGAAGTCTGAGAGGGAGGGAAGGTGCAGGAGCAGGCAGAGGGTGGGCTGTGGCCAGGAAGGAGAGTGCAGGAGCATGGCGGAGGTGCATGAGGAGGATGGGGGAGAGGATGGCTTCATGCTCCCTGCTGCTCCCATTGGCCACAATTCCAGCCAATGGAAGCAGCAAGGGAAGCTTCCAGGCTGCTTCCCTGTGCAGCCATCCCCCCAGCTGGAGGGAGGAGGAAGGACAGCGTACAGAGCCGCTTGCTCCCTCTGCAAACTGGATCTGGCCCGCGAGGCTCAGGGCTTCCCCTACCACCACCCCAGCAAGGAGCCAGTGCTGGCACTCCACCCTTGTGGGGAGCACTGGGCTGGAGCACCAGTGTGAGCTTTCCACTGCCGGGGAGTGGAGGGAAGGGGGGCTGAGCTTCAAGCTGCAGCCCACCTGCCAGGCGGCCGGACCACACAGATCTAGCTTGACCTTGCCTCGTTTAGAAACCATCTTGGCTTGATTTAAATGCTGCCAGTGATGGACTGCGCCCCTTGGGAAGCCCTTCCCAGACTAATCACCCAGCTCGGGGCAAGGGGCATTGTCGTAGGCTGATACTCATAGTTCTGAGGAAATGGTTTGCAAATGTGCAGACAATGCAGTTAAATAACGTTCTTAGAATGTCGTGTGTGGAGCAGCACAAAACTCAGCCTTTGTGCCTAGGCCCTGGACTGTAGCAGCGGGGACACACACGTGTATTTCAATGATGAAGGTTCCCAGGTGCTGTGTTATTCTACAGCAGTGGAGACCCAGTGTAATGTCAGTACCGCGGGTTCCTGGACACTGGGCGTTGGTCTGTCATCCATGGTTACATTCTGTCCTACAATTACAGACATGGCTCCCACTTATGCTAATGGGCCAGCCCTGCTATCACTGGTGTCAATGCGGAAATAACTCCTCTGAAGTAACCAGCGACACCGAGAGCAGAGACTAGCTTAGTGGAAGTTGCACCTGTAGATGCGAGGGAGGGACTCGTGCCATCCAAGATAAAGTCTCTGTGCCCTGTTTCCCCAGGTATGAGATCCCAGACACCCAGATGGCTGATGAGAAGCAGCTGGAGATCCTACAAGATAAGGCCAACTTCCGGAACTTCAAGCCAAAGCCCTTCAACATGCTGGAGTTTTATGATCGTGCTGGGCATGATATCCGGGAGATGCTGCTGTCTTGCTTCTTCCGTGGAGAGGAATGCAACCCAGAGGACTTCAAAGTGGTAAGTGCTGTGGGTCTCCTCTACTCCTGGTCCTTTTGAATGATGCTGTGCCTAAAGCTACCTGGACCATGCCATTGCTTTTCTGATCTAGGTTTGTATCCTGAGAGGAGGGTGTCCGGTGACTTTACATTGTGGCTGGGCATGATCGTGCTGGGGCCTAAGATCACAGCTGTGAGCACAAAGGAACTGGCAGGGGACATTATGGGGAGGTCTGTGGTGGGTGCTGCTTGTGGGCACCCTCTGCAAATGTTACCCAGACGCTTGGTGAGGAACATTTCTGTGGCCACCTTCTAAGATGGTCTAAACATAAAAAAGGAGTCGTATGAAAAGTGAGAAACTAGGTCAAATGACAAAGGATGAATATAAACAAACAACACAGATATGCAGGGCTGTCAGCAGGAGACCACGGCCCTGTTCAGGGTGGGACAACAGCCAAACAGTCACACAGTACCTTTGGGGTAAGCTGAGCAGCAGTCTATTAGCCCAGGCCCTTGATTAGGGTGGGGCAACAAACAAACGGTCTAGTAGTTAAACAGTCCAAAACCCAGGCCAGTCTGCAGGCTGAGCCCGGGGTCGGGTCTTCTTGCTGGCAGAGAGCCATGGGACCTGCCTCCCTGGGGAATGGGTGGCAGGGGGGATGCAGGCCCACCCGCTCCACTGCATCCCAGCCCAGGGCCTTGATAGTGGCCACACAGCGGCCACTGGGTCAGTGGGGATCCGGACCGCAACACGCCAACCAGGTCTATGGGTCGGCGGGGATCCAACCTGCAACACACTGCCCAATCAACCTCCATCTCCTCAGCCACCCCGGGGTCAGCTGTCCCTAGGCCACTTTCCAGTTCCCCCAGGGGGACTACCTGGCTTGGGCACTGCTCCTCGGGGTCAGTTGGGGACGGAGGTGCTGGCAGCGTGTCCATCAGTTCCAGCTCAGGCAAGGGCCCAGATGAACTGGTCCAGTCGGTGGAACCCGGCAAGGGTCCCAGGGGTCACAGCAAGTCCTCGGGCTGTAGCAGCAGTCTCAGTGGCCCAGGCCAGTTGTTGGGGGCCGGCAGGGGTCCTGGTGGCCCAACCCAGTCCCCCCATCGGGTGCAGTGTGGCTGGGCCCTTCACTGCAGGAGCTGGGGTCAAGCATCTGGCCTGTATGGCCGCTGGGCTCCAAGTGAGCTCTGAGCTCTTATAATTCTGTAGGCGGGGCTAGGTGAGCCTGGACCTGCCCACCAAGGGGTCTAGAGGACCCTTCCTCTTCCAGGTCAGAGGGAGGCCATGTTGCTGTCCTAGACTCATTAGGGCAAGATTAAAAGGCAAATTCTGTAGGCGGGGCTAGGTGAGCCTGGACCTGCCCACCAAGGGGTCTAGAGGACCCTTCCTCTTCCAGGTCAGAGGGAGGCCATGTTGCTGTCCTAGACTCATTAGGGCAAGATTAAAAGGCAATGGCACAAAATGAGCTCAATCTAACTAAAGACATAAAGGGTAACAAGAAGACATTCTACAAATATAATAGAAGCAAGAGGAAGACCAAGGACAGGGTACGCCCATTGCTCAGTAAAAAGGAAGAAACAATAACAGGAAACTTGGAAATGACAGAGGTGCTTAATGACTTCTTTGTTTCGGTTTTCACCAAAGAAGTTTGATGGTGACGGGATGCCTAACATAGCGAATGCTAGTGGAAATGGGTTAGGTTTAGAAGTTAAAATAAAAAAAGAACAAGTTAAATTTACTTAGAAAAGTTAGATGTTTTCAAGTCACTAGGGCCTGATGAAATGCATCCCAGAATACTCAAGGAGCTGATAGAGGAGGTATCTGAGTCTTTAGCTATCATCTTTGAAAAGTCATGGAAGTCAGGAGAGATTCCATAAGATTGGAAAAGGGCAAATATAGTGCCCATCTGTAAAAAGGGAAATAAGAACAATCCAGGAAACTACAGACGAGTCAGTTTAATTTCTGTGCTAGGGAAGATAATGGAACAAGTAATTAAGGAATTCATCTTCAGACATATGGAAAATAATAAGATGATAGGAAACAGCATGGATTTGTAAAGAACAAATCATATCAAACCAATCTGATAGCTTTCTTTGATAGGATAACAAGTCTTGTGGATAAGGGAGACGAGGTAGACATGATATACTTAGACTTTAGTAAGGCATTTGATACGGTCTCGCATGACCTTTGTATCAATAAACTAGAGAAATACAATGTAGATGGGGTTACTATAAAATGGGTGCATAACCAGCTGGATGACCATTCTCAGAGAGTAGTTATTAAAAGTTCACAGTCATGCTGGAAGGGCATAACAAGTGGTGTTCTCCAGGGGTCTGTTTTGGGACTGGTTCTGTTCAAAATGTTCATCAATGATTTATATGATGGCATAGAGTATGCGTATTAAGTTTGCAGATGATACCAAGCTGGGAGGGGTTGCAAGTGCTTTGGAGGATAGAATCAAAATGATCTGGACAAACTAGAGAAATGGTCTGAGGTAAAGAGGATGAAGTTTAATAAGGACAAATGCAAAGTGCTCCACTTAGGAAAGAACAATCAGTTTCACACATACAGAATGGAAAGCAACTGTCTAGGAAGGAGTACTGCTGAAAGGGATCTAGGGGTCATAGTGGACCACAAGCTACATATGAGTCAACAGTGTGATACTGTTGCAGAAAAGGCCCATTAACAGATGCATTAACAGAAGCGTTGTGAGCAAGACACGAGAAGTCATTCTTCTGCTCTACTCTGCACTGATTAGGCCCCAGTTGGAGTATTGTGTCCAGTTCTGGGCACCACATTTCAAAAAAATGTGAGGAAATTGGAGAAGGTCCTGAGAAGAGCAACAAATAAGATTAAATGTCTAGACAACATGACCTATGAGGGAAGACTGAAAGAATTGGGCTTGTTTAGTTTAGAAAAGAGAAGACTGTGGATTTCAAGTATCTAAAAGGGAGTTACAAGGAGGGAGAAAAATTGTTCTTCTTGGCCTCTGATGATAGGACAAGAAGCAATGGTCTTAAATTGCAGCAAGGGAGGCTTAGGTTGGACATTAGAAAAAACTTCCTAACTGTCAGGGTTGTTAAACACTGGAATAAATTGCCTAGGGAGGTTGTGGAATCTCCATCGTTGGCAATAGTTAAGAGCAGGTTAGACAGATACCAGTCAGGGATGATCTAGATGGTGCTTGTTCCTGCCACAAGGGCAGGGGACTGGACTTGATGATCTCTCGCGGTCCCTTCCAGTTCTAGTAATCTATGATTCTATGTAAATTACTGTGGACATGGTGTAGTCTTGTGTCCATGATGGATATGTCTGTGGTAGTGACTTGCTGGAGGGAGGACTACTTGAGAAAAGGACCTAGAGAATGTTTCTGTCAGTGGCCAAGCAGACTCTCTTATGTGTTTGAATAACACATTGTTTACCTTGGACAAGAACCAGCTTACACCAAATAGAAGGTACTTTAAAAAAAAGTGGAGGGGGAGGGGAGAGAATTTGCAAGAGAGGATAAAATCATAGAATACTAGAACTGGAAGGGACCTTGAGAGGTCATCAAGTCCAGTCCCCTGCACTCATGGGAGGACCAAGCACCCTTCAGATCAGGGCTACTCAACTTTGGAAGCCCTGGGGGCCACAATGATACTCATAATATATGTCAAAAGCCGCAACTTGAGTGTGATTGCATATACATGCAAATCTGTATGCAAATAGCTTCTTTCACACTGACAGGCATGAATACAAAGATTAAAGCAAGACTACACAACTCGCAGGCCCCATTTATGTCAGTTCTGCTGATATGAATAAATGCAATATTTACCCAATTTCTACCCATATGACAGCACTTTTAATGAGCAATGACAGTCCAGGAATTTAACTACTAAAATGCATATCAACAGCAGACCATTATGTTGACTACTTTTTTGTTTTGGTTCGCAACCACAGGCTATTTGTTGAGCCCCTCGTAAACCCAAACTGCACCGTGGGCCACAAACAAACGGGCCATGGGCTGCATGTCGAATAGCCCTGATCTAGATCATCCCTGGTAGATGCCTATCATACCTGCTTTTAAATATCTCCAGTGATGACATTTAATGCTATCACGTCCCCTCTCAGTCGTCTCTTTTCTAAACCAAAGAAGCCCGATTCTTTGTCTTCTCTCATAGCTCATGTTTTCATCTAGACCTTTAATCATTTTTGTTGCTTTTTCTGATACACTTGGATCTGCATCCACCCACCTTCTCTGGCCTATGGCAGGTATTTCTGTGGCTCTTGTGCTGATATTTCTGTAGTTGAGCAGTTTAAGTGATTCAGAGGGGTTGAGGTGGATGCACCATAATCATGTATACATATATCATGGCAGATTTTCTAGCTCTCAGGCTATGTCTAGAATGCAGGCTTCTTTTGGAAGAACCTTTTTTCGAAAGATCTATTCCGAAAAAACTTCTTCCAAAAGCGCATTGAAAAAATCTGCTTTTTTGAAAGATGACATCCACACTGAATGGATGCTCTCTCGCATTTCAGCTGTGATTACTATGGACGGAGTGGCCACCAGGGCACCTGTGCTTTTTCCTCTTTCCTCTCCTTTCAAAAGGACTCCCTCTTCCCCATCCACACATGCCTTTTTCCAAAAGAGCTCTTTCAGAGAAAGGCTTCTTCCTCATAGAAAGAGGATTACCAGTTCCGGAAAAAAACCCTCTGTTCTTTTGATTTACTCTCAGAAGATTGCAGTGTGGACAGAACTCAGATTTTGTCGGGAAAATGGCCGTTTTTCTGACAAAACTCTATAGTGTAGACATACCCTGAGTGGGAAGGTCCTGGAGATGGGCAAACCCTAGGGCTGTGTCTACACTGGGCCACTTATTCCGGAAAAGCAGCCGCTTTTCCAGAATAAGCTGCGAGCTGTCTACACTGGCCCTTGAATTTCCGGAAAAGCAGTGACGATTTACTGTAAGAAATCAGCTGCTTTTCTGGAAAAACTATGCTGTTCCCGCTCGGGCAAAAGTCCTTTTTCCAGAAAACTGTTC